GCCAAACGGCCAACAGGTCACGCCTCCTAATTTGTTTTCTCCGTAGCAAATTTATATGCAATTGTTGCGCTTAAAGTGCCGACTCGCATCGCAGTGTGATTGCCTACGATAGAAACGCCGTCTTGCTGTGATTCCACAGTCTCATATTTGTGAACCAGCTCACAAATGTAATGTAGTTCTGAGTGCACTGGGAGAGAGAGTTATGGGGGCATTTTAGCCCTTGTATAATATGTGTACCTCTTTTATGTGGTCATTTATTATAAGGCGAGCTCCATGAATAATGTATGATTAAAAGGCTTAATGGATACACTGGGACTCGTCAAAATAAAAGCAAAAATCCATTTGCTCTCCCTGTAGTAAATCCAATAGCTTGTCCTTGGGCTAATTTCCAACTTGGGACTTAGTGGGGGAGTGAGTGCATGTCTTGATAGTGATTTCAGGGGAGGGAGGTGTTGGTTGTGCTGCAAAGTGAGAGAGCGACACAGAGAGAGAGAGAGAGCGAGAGAGAGAGAATTAAATGAGACACGGATGGGGAACAAAGCCCGGAACACCTCTTTCTCCGGATTCCTCCCCTCCTTCACGTCACTATCCCAGGACCCCTCTTTCTCTCCTTCCCTCTCTCCCGTCTCTGTCCCCCACCATCTTATGGCTCCTTCCCCGTGCCTCTGAGCAGCTGCCACTTCTGAGCCCGCAGAAAATGAAGGCAGATGAATCAATTTGGCCTGTGGCCCTAAAGTGCACTTGTCTGCACCCCAGGCTGGGCCGGGGGAGGGGGAGGGATAATGAGCCGATAGATTGAGCCGATGCTGGAACCCGGCACTGAGCGCTGAGGTGCCTTTCGCCCGCCGCACCACCGGCCCCTTTCTCTCTCTCTCTCTCTCTCACACTCACACACACACACACGTACATACACATAGTGTTGCTGCGTCCCAGAGCAGCGGTAGCAGCCCGTCACTGGGTTAATGGGGGTGAGGGTCCTTTGCGCCAGGCGCTTTTCAGAACAAATTAAAAGAAGGATCTGTATCTGTCGTTTTCATCCCTCCCTTTAAAGTATTGCCCCTCGTTTCCTCCTGCTCTGTGCATATCGGAGCCTGGTATCGCGAGGAGAAGAGCAGGAAGGAAGGGGGCAGGCAGGCAGGGGCCAGGGCTCCTGGGGTAATGATGATTGACACTGGGACAAGGCTAAGGCACAGCCTCCCTGAGTGCTGTTGACAGGTGACGGCAGGCTGCGGAGAGACGAGGCAGAGCGAGAGGAGCTGGAGCAAAGAGTGGAAAAGTGAGGTCAGAACTAACCGCTTCTCTTATTTAAGGAGGAGGAACGTAGGAGACCATGTCTGATTCAACCCCACCCCACCCTGTTACCCCCACAAAACCCCTGCAAGGTGAACGAGGTAGGATCAAGGGAGCAGGACAACAAATCATCCTCCGCAAGCCTCTAGCCAGCATGACGCCGGCAGGCTGCAGGTGATCATGAGTGAAAATACAAGAAAAAGTTGGCCAGGCCGATGGCATGAACCGATGAGAGCCACGACCGTCTCCATCGATGCCCCGAGTAGCCCTTTCCAATACGCAGCCCGCCTCTCTGACTTCAACCAGGGTTAGAGTAGTATAAATGAGCAGACCCCAGTCGGCACTACTCAACTTAGGAGGAAATTAAGATGCTGGAGGGCCCTTTGAAGATAATTAAAGAGCACAGAGCGGCAGCCTCCAGAGAGGGACTGCAGACATGTTCGATACTGAGACTAATGGAGCTAATTTCCAGTACATTATTCATGTAAAACACAGGCCTTAACTTAGCCATGTTTTTCAACATCTCTGCTGTCTTTCGTCTTAAATCAAACTGCACCCCCCCCCTCCTCCTCCTCCTCCTCCCACTGACACACACACACACTCAACATGACTAGCCGCACCTCAATAACGCGCAGGTCAAACCTTTAAAGTAAACAACCTTTTTCCAACTATGATGCTTTGAAATGGTCAGGTGGCAAGTAACTGCGCTCTCAAGGCTTTCCAGAAAATCAACTCAAGCGTAGTGGAAAGGCTTTATGACTTTGAACTGTGTCACCCCTTGCAACCAATCACATCTCAGTAGAGACTGTTAGCCCGACCCTAAAGATCACTAACTTGTCCTCTAACATTAATGAATACACAAAAAAGGAATTAAACAACACCACGTGAAAGCATTGCAGTTGGGACCCTAGGGCCAATTAAACACCTCCCCAGACAGGAAATTAGTCCCAGCCTTAATCACAGGCAGTCAGCGTTGCCAATCTTTTGTCAGAGTTGGTGAATTCCTGCCTCGATCAATTGCTCTCCTGTCCCGTTAAACAGCGGCTTGGGGAATGGTCCTTGCTCGCTTCATCATTAACCTAGGCGGCTAATTAGACACTTTGCTCTGATCAATAGCCAAGCTGATTACTGACTGGGTAATGTAGCCGTAGGAAGAGACGGAAACACTCAAGAACTTGTCAGCAACACTGATGCTGGGTAAACAAAGTAATCAACAGCTGCACTTGACGGCAACGTGACGCAGACTGTACCTTCACACTGCTGCTTCTGTGCCCGCCTGCCAAGGAGGATTGCTCTCTTTGTTCTCCCCTTGAGAGAAGGAAATCAGAAAGGCCACCATCTATTTTGAGATTCAAGGAGTGATTAGGCTGACAGGTAGTCGAGCGAGAAAGGGAGAGGCGGGTGGAGGTGGAAGTCAAACCTGATTAGGCCCACCTGCCGGGTCTCTTTCTTCCATCCCTGCACCCTGATTGCTTGGCGGCAGCGCCCGCCTCCTATCCGCCACACTCACCCCACCGCACCCCCGTCCTGTCACTGTTGACCTCAGCGCGCCGCTAATGCCCCTTGGCCAATCAGCATGCTCGCCCTGGTGGAAGGAGGGTAATTAAAAGGGAATTGTGTCTACTTGGCGTGTGAGCTAGTGGGCACAAGGGTAGACAAACACACATTCTCTCTGCCACCTTGCCTCCCTCCCTCTTTCCCGGCCAGGTGGTAGCGTACAGGATCTGTCAGATTAGCTGATGACCCTTTTAATTCTAGCCCAGCCGGGGGCCATAATTGATATTTACCGGGAAAGGTTAATTGTAGCAGTGATCTGCTTAAATTACAGTGGAGATCAGGAGAAGGGGGCCCGCCTCCATGCACGGCACCAGGGGAGCTGCTACATGCAAACTGCTAGTCAAATGGATTATACCCCACGGCCATCACCCCTGTACTCCAAGGTGGGGAAGCTCCACGGAACATTGTGATTGGCTGGTGTTGTTGCAGCACATAGTCGTCATGCAGAGCTTGCCAACCTCCCATCTGGCTACGAATATGAATGATGCCAACTGTGGGTCTTGATGGCATTAAATCAACCAAGCCACCCAGGTTGATATCATGATGTGCAGAAACTGACATACATTTATGATGCCGGTATTGAATCTTTATTTTTCTATTTTCTTTAACAGGAAACTGCACAAATCCAATGAAAACTAAATATTTAAAGAGTATTGTCCTTTCAGTTTATGCAAAATCTTAGTTTTTTTTATTGAAATCCCAGTGCGGATTTGTTACCAATACAAAGTTACCTAAGGAATGTGACTTAGCTGTGGTGGATGTCCATTTAGTATTTAGCAGTGAACCCCGATTCAACTGACTCTACCTGTTCGGGACCATTTTATTTTCTGTATTATTATATAAGCCAAGGCTAAACAGAGCTCAGTATATATTTTTATCGAGCTATGCAACACCTCTACCTGAGGGTTTTTTGCGTTGAGTACTGCTTTACATTTAGCCAAAGCACAAACTGACACCGAGCTGTGTGTCCTCACACCGTTGTGTTTTCCTCGAGTAAAGAATAGAACGTTTGGTCCATTGAACGTCAGATAAAGCCCTTGTAGTTTTGATGTATTGTTATGCATGCATGCTTCATTTAATACGTAAAATATGATTGCATCTTGACCTTTTTTTGGCTGATGTAATTATTAAATTATGATGATTGCAAAAAAGGACGTTTGCATTTGCTTCTTGTCATACAAATCAAGAATCCGTGGAAAGGTGTGTTTGGTGGGGGTGCTTTGTTCTTGTCCCATACACGCTGCTACAGAAAAAAACCTAAATAAAAAGTATTTTCAACGGTTAATAAAGTGAGGGGAGGATTTTTTACATGTCCCTTTTCCCGTCCTCTGCAGATCAAACCTTTTGCACTGTGTCCGGTCAAAGTCAGAGAGGACGAGATGGTGCAGGAGGTCAGCCGACCGCACAGAAGCAACTCCAAGGAGCAGCTCAGCGAGGTGAGTCCTCATACTAGACCTTTTGCCTTTTCACAGACCTCCTGAAGCTTGCCAGGCTATCCACTTTCATGGGGCGGGGCAGGAGAACCTCTGAAGTGGGATATAGAAAGCGTTCAGGCGACAACAACATTGAGGCAGAGATCACAGACAGCTCCTGCTGTTTCCCGCTATCACCTCATAAATCCCCTGTGCATTGGGGGAGAGACTGGCTGGCTGGCAGCACACAGACAGGAAATGATTAGGCCGGTCGCGCAGCATCACCTTGTTGGCCTGGCAGTATTTAAGCATGGCGCGGTTAAATGTAGACATGGCCTAACGCATTTCTGCCAGGTGTGGGCTGACCTTGCCGACCCCAGGGTGGAATGAGTTAAAGAAACCGTTCCAATTATGGCCGCGGCTGCATCCATATGCCAGCCCATTTAGAGGATGAGTAGGTGCCAAAGGAGAATGGAGGCCAGGCATTGGTTCAGCATAAGGGATGAAATAATGCAATTTAGATACAGGGAACGTAATGAGAATTTATGCAAAAATCCCAAGCGGCTCATTTTAAATGAACGTTGAAATATGCTTCCTAACTAATGCCTGTCAAGCAGACCTCCCAAACCTGAAACCAAATTCAATCAGACTGTTCATTTAGCTGACGAAAGCAGCAGGAGGAGAGTGAGTGGGAAGAGAGAAACGAGAGGAAAGAAAATCTGCAGCTATCTTTTCCAGCAGGGGTAAAATGAATAAAAGTAAAATATTTTAATGAACCACCGTTAATTAAATGCTTTGTTTTAAGCTATTTAGCATTCCAATTGAAAGAAAGAAAAATCACCCAGCCTATTTCTTCCCATTTGGTCCTGTTTTCTGCATGCCATGCTGCTTTATCGCGTGCACCCGCCACCCCTTCTCCCTTCTCCTGCAACTTCCCTCCTACTATTTTCTCTAGAATTTGTGTAAAAGGCTGTCTTTTAATGAAAAAGTCGGGGCGAAAAGGCGGGCTTGTCAGATAAAAGGCCGCTGCCAGTTGACAGCTCTGACAGGGATATACGACAAGCACAGAAAAGGGGAGGGGGGGGGGGGGGGGGGAAGCCCGAAAAACGGGGTGGAATTGTGGGTGGTGTCCGTGAATTAGGTGGGGGTGGGCGCCCCTGGTGAAAATTGCACGCTGTAATCGCCGACAGTGTTAGTTGTGGCATGTCTCTCTAATCTGCTGCCAAATAAATGGTGCACAGGCGCTGATTGTTGTAACCACGGCATCCATATCTATCCATCTCTCTTCCTCTTTCCGTCTCTCTCTCTGCTGGCTGTACTCCACAGCAAAGGCCTGGACATAATACACACAGCGAGATTCCTCACCAACACCGTGCCGCTGTCACTATATTCTGTTTTAGCTCCATGAAGTCTCCGTCAACACACTGAGAGCACCGCTAATTTTTGCAAAAACGCTCCGGCGTATCAAAGCGGCTCCCCGGCTCTGAGAGCTCTTAACTAATGATGCCGCGTCTGTGCAACGAGTAAAATGGATTTCTCTTGTCTTACCGCCAAAGGAAATGGAGACAAATGCGCCATGTGGACGCGCCCGCCTGTAAAAACAGTCATGCATCAATTTGGGAGCAGGGGGTAAAAAAATAAAACGAAGGGAATGCTGTTTGTTCATTGCCATGGTTGGGTCTTTATCTGTTTATTTTGACTAGGTAATTGTGCCTGCGGTGCAGCGGGGCCCCGGCACTAAGCCACACAGGGATTAGTGAAATATGAGGTGGTGGAGGAGGTGCGTTTCACAGCATCTGCATCCTGTGAAGGAGAGGGCGGGAGCTGTGGCGCTGTCGGGGTCTCTAACACCCTCCTGTATCCACCCACTCCCACCCACATGCAGCCAAACCCATGAGCTACCTGATCCGCCACAGAAGGCCTACGTGTTCGCATCCCTTCTCTCATCATGCCCCATTGAGCTCTGATTGGTCCGCCTCCCTGGGTTTGGAGAAGATGGACTGGACCCTCCTCTCCTGTCGCCATGTTTTTCTTTTTCTATCCTTTTTTTTTGTAAGGAGAGTGGAGGAGGGGGCATGGAAATGGGGAGAGGATTAGGGGGAGGATTTAGCAACATTCTCTTCTCCAGGGCTGTTTAGTTAACCCTTAAATGCCGCCAGCATCCACCCCATCCCTCTCCCTACCATCCAACATAATCACCACACACAAACACACACACACACACACACACACACTCGTCCTGCTCCTTCCCCCACACTCCCTCTCCAGGGCGGGTTCTTAAATCCTTTTGAAGTCCTAAGCGCGGCAGAAATCCATTGAGAGCCATGTATAATGGCTTTTAAGAGAGAGTGTTTAGCTGGATGCCGACCCTATGGCTTATGAACCGCTGGCGTTTTAATGGATCCCCACCCCCCCCTTCGCCCTTTTCCTCCCTTCACCGGCACTAAATCCAATGGATTGTCTCTCATTATCATTTAAATAAGCCTCTCTTTCTGCTCAGAACGCTCCAAGTTGAATGAACTCTACACAGTAAGGCTAATTCCAAATGGCCTTGGCCTCCCACCACCTATGCATATATGCCCTCACACACACAAACACATGATTTAAGTGCATAGGCGGAATACATTCTCACTGGAACACAAACCCTGGCCCTTTTTATATCCACCTATATTGCCTTCTTTGCAGTTTTCCTTGTCTCTGGCCTCGCTACTGAAGGGAGCATAGAGGTTGAGCAGAGCGGGAATAGCCTTTTGATTCCCGCAGAGCCTTCTTTCCGGTTCGCGGCGGGACTCCTCCCTAATCGTCACCGCAGGAGCCGTCCTGCGAATCAGAGGGGCATACAGGCGATGATGAGGGCTGAGGCCAGGAGCAGGTGTGGGAGAACGGGTGAGGGGTATTGGGATGGCGCAAAACAAGGGAGGCAGCGGCAGCGAAGGTGTGGGGGAGGTTGCTCGGATTGAAGGTGGACCTATGGGTAAAATTGGTCTAGCAGAAAAGTCCCCTCCAGAGACCGGGGGGGTGGGGAGAAATTGCCAATCTAGACAGAGGAATAAAAGAAGTGAAAAGTGGAAGTGGAGGGAGGGATTTAGAGATTGGTATTCGTGCTGGGCTCTTGACAGACAGAGCCAGAGAGAACAGAACAAAACCTAACTATTCCGTCTCCATCCTGCTCTCGGTCAGCTTTTAGAGGACTGCATTAGAAAACACAGCAGAGTTTAATGGGCCAAACCCCCTAAATGCATTGAAGAGATATTTGTCTTCAGTAAAAGGGGCTTTGGGGTAATTTGGCTTGGTTCCAGGATGTGGCAGATCTCACAAAATGAAGACAGAAACGAAAAATTGTGTGTGAGTGTGAGCTTGTCGCAGTCACAATAACATGGTAGATGAATTTGTCATAAATGTTTAAGGATGATCATGACAATGTCCTTTTTTTATAAAGCATGTAAAGCATTCTGGTCATCTCTTGCCTGTTGATGCTACTCTAATTCAGTTTTGTTTGCACAACAAAAAATCATAAGCTGGAATGAGAAGAGAAGCTTCTGGTAGCAGGGTAGAGCTGCACAGCTGTTGCTCAATACATATATTTCTATTTCAAGGTGGGTTTGGGAATTTTGTCACACTAGCGCAAGTGGTGGATTGACTCTCATGTGACTATTAATGTCAGATGCCCCCCCTGCAGACACAGAAGCAAGGGGTGAAAGTTAATCCTCACCTGGGCTGCAACGCATTACCTCCTCTATCTAATAAAGCCACCGGAAGGAAGCCTGACTCATTTTGTCTACAGAAAGTCAACAGGCAAAGACTAGATTGTGACTTAAACCATAGAGTTGCTTCCCAAGGTACCCTGTGCATGCCAGAGTCTGATACACAAGTAAAGCCTGTACACTCCACCCACGGCTTAAACGGCATTTACACCCTCTTCGAATGACTATTTTTCAGCATATTAATTATAAACTTACAAAATTCAACTCAAACTCATATGAAGATATTATAGTTTTTAGAGCGGGTGCTGCTCAGCTGCCCCAACTGTGGACGCCGGGAGCTACGGGAAGGATGTGTGCGGCGCGTGGTACATGGCGGGGCGGCTAAAAGGTTAACGTGAATATTGATATTAAAGCGGCGCTGCTTCATCATGTCTGTGTCAGCGAGTGAAACGCTCCTTAAAGGTCATCCCTGTTCTCCTCTCTCTCCCTACAGACTTCCATTCACTCGCTGTCAGGCCGCGGCTACTCGGTAAGTGGCATTTTCATGCTTCATAGCTTTACGGCAGAATTACAATCCCCAACGACCCGCTTTATGGCCCCGGTGCTCGACATTTTAATTATGTTAAATAGAGTAATGGAGAAATCATGATATTAGGAACATTAATTCTGGCTGACTGACTGATTAAATTGCGGGAAGGTGTCCCGCGCTACCTTGGCGAAAAGAGCCTCGTTTTATTGGCATCGATCAGCTTTCGCTGGTGCTGCAATTTGGCTGTCAGAGATTTGTGTCTTCTTCCAGTGTATGTCAACGGAGGATCCTTTTGCTCTTGTGTATGAAAATATGCCTAAAAGCATGGAAAGGCTCCCGCATCTATGCAACAAATGTAATGTCTCACCACCACAGAGATGCATGTGCACCTTCAGGAGGATGCAGAGCTGTTAAACTCGTTATTTGTTGGAAACGACTGACTGACACTGAAGTCAGTGAGATGTTTTTTCTGCAGTAGACCAAGTGTTGTTCAAGGTAAATAGGCCCAAGAGGAATACTTCGGAAAACGTCAACCCGATCCTTTCAAACATAGAAGTCCATAAATCAGAATACGACTATTTTTATCCCTGAAAGCATTTGTTGCCCCAGTGCCTTTTGGATTGGTTCATTTGTGCTCACCCCCACCCATTGTTTCAACGATGCGCTGAGTCTCAGAGTAATAGAGACAGCAGTCGTCCTTTATGTCCTTTGCTTAAAGGGGAACTAATAAGAGGAGCATTCTTTAAAGCGTGCTACTTTTAGCTGAGTGGCATATGGCAGTTCTTATTGCAGCTTGGAAGCAATCATCCCGACAAACAAAACAACTATAAATGGTTTGTCATCGTTAATCTGCCTCAAAGGACTGCAGTTAAAGCGCTGAACAAAGCTTAACTTCTAAAGACCTTGATCTCTGCGGAATCTTTTGTTTTATTTATTTTTTATTTTGTTTTAATAGAACATGTCACATTTCCTTTCCCCAGCGGCTGCATACTCACAGATGGATGAAAACAAATAGGACTTTCCAAAAAAGCTCACAGAGCCCTTTGGCTCTAGCTGTCAGTTTAAGTCGGCAGGGAACGTTATCTCGGAGAAAGATGGGAGCAGTGAGTGGGCAGAAATGGAGGGGGTGGCTTGGCGGTGGGGGTGTAAGGTCATTGGCATTTGGCATTGTGCAAGAAAAGGAAAGTCCAGTTACAAGGGCAGGAAGTTTTCACGTTGTCAGGCTCCGTTCTCTGGCTCTGCGATGGTGCAATCTGCAGCATTCTTTGCCCTCTGGGTACCTCCTGGGTGCTGAGCTCTGACTCGCAATCTGCTGTGCTGCAGGCCCCGCTTGATTTCTGGGGTCGCCTTATCTGTAAGTGCTTCGGGCTTTACAGTATGATGGTTTTCGAAGAGGGGGGGAGGGTTTGAATGGGTTGCAGGGTCAGGGGCCTCGAGGGATCTGCCATGCAGAGGCTGTTGGTATAGGCGAGGAGGAGGAGGAGGAGGAGGAGGAGGAGGAGGAGGAGGAGGCGGCGGCGGCGGCAAGTGTCTGCATGGAGCGTTATGGCTGGAGGAGGAGAGAGGCGTGGGTGGGGTGCTGTTAGTTGGGTGGGGAGGCTGTGTGAGGGTCAACGAGTCAGGGACACAGGCGTGGGCAGCGCCCCCGGCCACCCACAGCATGGAAAGGGCTATCTCCTGGTTGGCCCCTGACACTGATCGCCGTCAACTCCTCCGCCTCTCCGCAAACTCTCACTGGTAGACGTGACGGTCGGCTGTCACGAGGCACTAGAAGGTAAAGAAAAGGCAATCTGTGTTGACAGGTTTTTGTTGCTTCTATTGGGGGGGCACCGCCTCTTGTGCGCGCCCATATGTCACCCTTCTTATGTTGCCTGCTAGGCAAGAATGTAAAGGAAAAACAGGAAAAAAAGCAATTTGAGGTCACTAGGGTGTTTTAAACATAGAAAAGACACGTATACTATGTTAAAGTACTTATGCACACATAGTGCATTAACACGGCAGTCCGTTGTACTTTTTAGCTAGGAATGAAGTCGGTAATTGAATCCAAATGTCCAAGTATTGATCGAGGTTTCAGTTTGTATCTAGTGTCTCACAGACACTATAATGTAGTTGACACAATTCTGCAGGCTGGTGCCATTATGTGTTCAAATTAAACCGCTCACAGCTGATGATTTCAATGTCTTCATGTTTGAGGAAACTTAAATGGATGTTTTTTTTCTGCAATTTCTGCAAAAAACATAGTGGCCGTTTACACAATATTCCTGCTATATATATATATATATCTATTATTATTATTAATTTACTTGGCTAAGACTAACCTCCTTAATTTACTCATTCATACAAACAGGATGTTTTTATCGAGGATGATGACATCACCCACCTCCATCTCCCAACCCCCCAACCTCCATCTCGTTTCAGGGGTGAGGGACCATTGAGTCCAGCAGCAGGATTGAGACTCGCTATCTCGCTCTCTGCGGAAGACTGGATATGGAATTGTTTATCAGGGCGACTCTCCCCTGTCTGCTTTGTGCAAGCTTCATTATATCCCCGGCTATGTTTTGGAGACAATATCTGTGCCTTGCTTCCTGCGCCGCTACCTGTTTGTTGTTCCACTAGAGATTGGCCCGGGCTCTGGCGATTTATCATCCTCTCTCAGGGGCTCCTTGATAAAGAACCCAACATCCCTCTCTGCACCTGGGAGATAGAGGCTGCAAGAGACGGGGAAAATGTCAAAGGATCTCACCGCCGCTATCTGCCCGTCCTGTCGCTACCCATGGGCTGGATGTACTGTGTAGGGGAGGAGACGTTTTAGCTAAGCAAAAAAGGCGACACACATCCCTTTCCTTTTGATGAAGAGATTGAGCTTCAGTCTCCCAGCCCCCATCTTTTAAAACCACCCAAGGCCGAGCTGTGGCTCATGTTTTCACGCACGATAAAAGCACAGAGCTTTGTCTGACGGTATAATCTGACTCGTCTGTTTGGGGAGGGTTTATCTCTGAGATGTCAGGGAGTAAAACCTTAGCCGCAGTGTTTGGGTTGAGGCAGAGTGCTCGGAGCTCTCAGACACACCCATTCTTAATTTCCCCTGCTCGGGTTGTCATAATCATATTTAACGCTAAATGAGTCTGTACTCTAAACAGAGCAGTGTCAGAGTCATTTGTGCATTTTTAAATATCCTCGTTTTAATTGATTTGGCATTCACGACCTCCACATTGTGGCAAACACGCTTCCCTGTCTGAGTGACGAGGCTTTAACAAGATCTTTATCGAATACATGGATTATGTCACTTAATTATAATAGAAGCCATTAAAGCTTCACGCTTTATTAAACAAAACGACCCAGATTCTCTGGATTAAATGCTAAACACAGCAATTGAAAGGAAATTGAGTGTAAATGTTATCTTGGATTTTTTTCAGTGAGGTCGTTTTGGTCACTGCACCATTATCAGCATACAGCGCCATTGCTGCTAACCACACAGTTTATGAAATGTCTTTACAGCGTCTTTTTAATTCCCTTTGTATGTCGCTCTGTCTGCCTCTCTATCTCTCTCGCACTCTCTCGCTCTGCTTGCTTTTTGGTGGTGCGCAGGTGTCTCTACACCACCGGCTCTGCACATGGTGAAAATTAGTGAAAGAAACGGAGAAGCCAGCAGGAGTGGGTTGGGGCCCTGACATTGTCCTGGCCTCTGGGTGGGGCTCTGCCTGTCAGGGGCCTCTCTATGAGGGCTGTCCGCCTTCAAAAACCTATTTGTTTATCCCCGTGTGCGGTCCGTCTTCAGATCCCGGACACTGCACCTCACTGCGCGCCGGGGATCAGGGCCGTTGCCGCTAGCAACAGATAAAAATTGCTGTTAACCACAGCAGGGCCCACAACACATCAATCAACAGTTCTGCAGATAAAGGCTTCGGGCTTCTGGGGCCCCGGCTGAATGGCACGGTTGAAAATCCTTTTCCAGTGGCTGAGCACACACAGCTCTGATGGCGGAGGCCTGCTATCATTCAGAGTTGAGGAGGGTAACTTCAATTTCAGCAAAGCGGCTCAGGTTTTGTTCTAATGGAGATGCATTAGAATGGCACTAGCACAAAGGGGACTCTGGGAGAGGTCATTTGAATAAAAAGGCGACACAGTGAATTAGTGTTGACCGGGCCTTCAGAAAAAAAAACAGCCCAAGCATAGTTCAGTTGTTCCAAATGAACCCTTAATTGCTTTTGCCACTTGGCTTTGCTCTTAAGGCTCTTTAAAAGCTGTGCCGTTGAGCTTCATCGCATTCCACATAGCCCGTTTGTTAGGACCGAATTGAGATCAACGATTGGAAATTGCTAGGAGCTATACTTCCGAGGGCCAAATTGGCACTAGTACAAAAAAATATTCACCAGAGGTGACTTCGATGGCTCATTCTAACCTTTTTTAATCCTGTTCCACCACACTTAAAGTCAATTTATGGTGATGACTTTAATAGCTGGTAATGAAAAAGAACAATGCTAATTTTTTCTCATATAAAATCCAGTTAATGTATTCCCAGACGATGCTCTATGCCATCACCCATGTTGGAGTTGGTCCAAATGAAACACGCGCTTGCATGAGTAAAAGCATTAGTCTTATCCCCCGAACACTAGCCTTGATTATCATCCCTCTTGCGTAGTTTGTCCTGGATACGTTCTCCCCTAACTCACATTTGCCCCACTTTAAACAAATAGTCCTATAATGTAACAATCAAACAATTCTATGAGGATTTGTTTACTGCAGGCTTTCTCCCCATTAAGTTTCACGGACACTGCAGACAGATAAAGTGCCCTTTATCATATGTTACATACACCACAATCAAGCAGCAATTACACGCTCCTTCCATTTGTAAGAGCTCCCAATGCCGACGTGGATGTTTTAATGAGGGCTGTAATGAACGCTCAGGGTGTTTGGCAAGTCTCCGAGATGTTGCCGGGGCTTTTATGGCTTCCCATTATAACGTACAATTTGCATCAGCAAATTACAATGCTCCATAT